GGATTTTTACTCGTACTAAAATTCCCTCACTAAGTGTCAGTTTAATTTATGCAGAGGGTTATTCAAAACAGGCGAAAATAAATACCCTCTGGTTCCAGGGTACAAGCGGTATGAGTCCTGTTTCTAATGTTTTATTTTCCCCCATATAGGTAAAGATAACATCAATCAAACTAGATGTTATTGGGGTAACTCTCGTCGGTATTTTAATATGCTGCTGTAATTGATAAATATTTATTATGTCAACTAATTTGCATGTGACTTGGCTTTTTGGCGTTTCTAAAAAGTTACAGTTGAGATTACCAGTTATGATGATTTCCATATTTTCGTCTTCAACTAGCTTTAGGAAATTTTCAAATTTATGAAATAAATCGTGGCTAGAGTTAGGTGGTCTATACCATGTTGCAATTAATAAAGGTTTACTTTTTGGCTTTCTCACCTCGATACAAAGCAGCTCAATGGCGTCAGGAACTAAATCTTGCCTAATAATATAAGGTATATTTTTACGAATAAACATTGCAACCCCGCCACCATTTCGATTCCGATCCAATCTAATAATATCATAGCCGGGTATCTTAACTTCATAGTCACATACACTTTTATCAAGTCTAGTTTCATTGACAGTTAGGATGTCAAAGCATTTGCTTTGCATATATACTAAAAGTTCATGATAATGTTTTACGAGACTGGCTATATTAATCTGGCCTATTTTAAAGCCTTTAAGTTTAGAAAAAGGAGAGCTTGCGCTGGATTGTGACGCTGCGCTATTAGTGCCATTTTCACTTTCTTCCGCATTGGTTGGAGGTTGGAACATTAGTAATCAATTGTCAATTACAATGTTTAAGATACTCAATGAAGTTTCCTGCTAATTTTGTAAAGCCTTGCTTATTCAGGTGTAGACCATACGGATTCAGATGATTTGCTTTAATATTCTTATGTGTTATGAATCCCCAAATTGTTATTGTCACATACCTGCTTCAATCTGGCATTCAAATTTTCTATTTTGGGCATAAGGCTTGAATCGTCGAATCGCGATATTATTTCTGAGATAACCATTTTTGTTTCCGGCGAGTTCTCCTCTATCCGTTTTCCAAGTGAAGATATCGATACTGCTATCTCTTTAGGAGTTGAATGTTTTAAATCATCAGTACCAACATGTAAAATTACGCTTTTAGGATTTTTCTCGACCGTCGGTTTAGCATAATGTTGCATATCGCCGACATTAGCGCCGGGGAACGTTTTCACCATAACGTTACGTTTCAAGCTTTTCCGTAATTTAGAAGGATTAATTAACTTTATCATCGAATCACCAAGTATGGCGACATCAATCGGATTACGACGTTGGTTTGGTGGATTTTCAGACTGATTTGGAGAAACCGTTGGTTTGTCAATAGCATTTTCTTTTAAGTTATTGAGGACATCAGAGCGGTTGCTGGTTTCAGGTTTGTCTTCAACATCAATCGCAATCGGATTACAACGTTGGTTACAATCTATAGTGTGTTTTTTTGGTAGATAAACTAGATTTATTTGTTTTGTCGGGTAATTTGACGCGATCTTGAACTTATTTCTCGAGGTCTTTCATCACCACTGGTGTTACAACATGGGAACTTGTATTTTGATTGAAGACTTCAAAGCGGTTACTAGTTTCCGGTTTGCCTTCATCCCGAGATAATTCAGTTGATTGTCTGGTTTGATGTTTGGGTTTTATCCACGCATTGCTACAACCTCGTTCCCAGGCTCTTACCTTCGCAAGAGCGTCATTCAAAAATTGTAATCGCTGCCATAGATTAAGTTTGGAAATAAATATATAATTAATCTGTGTCGCTGGCGATATCAATTTTCCACGATGGTCTACGAAAGCATCTTCAATCCCTCGACCTCAATCAACCTATATCAACCGATATCAACCAGGATTGGCTCGCGTGAAAAAATGCGTCTTAGGGCGCAGTATCGAAATTTGTGCCGACGTAAACACTACGAGGTCGAAACCATCTCCTTTGGTTGAACAGTACAATACTTTACTACATCAAGAAGAAAAACCCCATAAGAACGAGAATTAAAAGATCTTAATTTATTAACTTTGCCGGCATAAAATTACAATAACAAAACAGAGTGGCCGGGACACCGCAACAGCTTATTGCCAATTACTGCGGGCCCAATTGGATACAATCAAACAAACAGCGGGCATTCAACTGGACAGACTAACAAACCTACGAACAAACAATATTAGTTACTAAAAGCAGTAGGATATCGGATATGTAAGACTTCGTACAGAGTTACATTTCAGGCATATAGTTTTAAATGTTCGAGGATTATCAGGATTATAATTAACTTCTAAAGATTTGTGATAGTGTTCCAGTAAGGCTGATCTAAAGGAATTGAAGCAGTTCGTGTCATAATTTAGTTCATCTACGAGAGAGTTCCATATTCGACACGTTCTGACAAAAAACGACTGCTGGTAGGTACTGGTTTTACATTTGCGGACAATTTAGCGTTATTACTTGATGATGATCGTGTCGTTCTTTCCATAACATGAATGTCAGGAAGAGCAGACATTTCTACCAAACCGTGTGTGATTTTGAAGAAGAGGACCAGGTCTAGGTATTCATGCCAGTAAGATACGGGAAGAAGATGCAAGGATTGTAATCTTGTTTTATAGTCTACGTCTGCCGAGAATGGCAAATTCAAAATATATTTTGTTGCCCGCCTCTGAGTTCTTTCTAAAATGTCAATAAGTTTAATGGTCTGCGGTGCCCAAATCTGGGAGGCATACCCGAAATGAGATCGAACCAGTGCAAGATACAATGTTCGTCTTGGTGCAGTACTTTTGATGAACATGGTATTTCTTCTTATATAGCCTAACAGTTGGTTTGCTTTTGACGCCTGATGGTGAACTTGTGTTTTCCATGTAAGATTTGATGCTATACATACACCAAGATCTCTTTCAGTGTCGGTTGTGTTTAATTGGTGATCGTTTATCATATATGTTGACCATAGATATCTCATATACACTAGATAGCGCATCCCACCCTGTAGCCGGGCGAAAATTGAAGCCTGATCGCAGTCGCATTTTACGCGTGGCGGCCATATTGGTCGTTCCCACGGAGCGTGATAATTTGTATATTTTGTATTGCGGAAATGGACAAAGTTGACCATAAATCCTCTTTTATGCAGTCAATTTTGGGTTTCTAAGTGTGGAACTTGTTGTCAACGATGCCAGTTTATTGGAGCTTCATATTGTGAATAACGGGTAGGCAAAATTTAATTATTTTTTCTGAAAATATCAATATTTGTCGACCCGTATGAAGGGCGGCCATATGACAACTATCGACAAACCATTGCGATTTTTCAATATTTTGCTGTTAAATATATCATGTTGTGTGTGGAACTAAGATTTTGATGCATATTAATATATAAATATAGTTCCACCAATTCCAAATAAGACATTTTGAGCTAGTATCGCCATTGCTTCATGGCAAAATTGTAAATGTATTTGTGAAAGACGGCAACATTGAAAAACATTTTAGTCACAGTTTATCAATTATGGCAAAAGTAGTCAATATAAAACATGGAATGAACCAAAACAAAAATGATTCTTACTTCTTAGTATGTGTATATTTATTTACATACAACATATCATGTATTATTTTGTAGTTCCATGGAATCACATCATGATCAAAATCTATTAGAAGCTAGAGAACAATTGTAACTTTATATTCGCAGGCAATATAGTAACGTAATTGCTATTGTTTTATGTAAATATAGTTGATAATCCAATGGTATGAATATGCTTCAAACTATCTTTAATTGATGTTAAGAAACATTTCTTTCTATTGAGTCCTGTGAGTACAAGACTTTTTGCTTTTAATTCAAGCAATCAAACTGCCAAATTACTGTAATAGGTCACTGTATTAATACAGTAATTTGTATTTTAGAACTGCTTTAGGCTAATATGGGAAAACCTGTTTTGTAATGACACACATTATTTCTTGCATTATAGTATAAGATCAGTGAAATAAACTGCTTGATGCACAGTAACTTTTATAATCTTAAATATAGTTACATTCATTATTGTATGAATAATTCTATTGTTATAATAAAATACTACTTTTGACTTTGTGTAATAGTGCTTTCCAATTCTTTGACTCATATCAAATGCACAATATTAAACTTTTCTTAAAAAATAAACAAAATTTGTAAGTACTCTCAGGAATTAAAAACATGATAAACTCTCAATTTTAGCCTTTTGAGTTTAGTGGTTACTGTAAATATAATTAAAAAAACATGTTCAATTTAAAAAACATTTTTGGAGACTTGTGGCAAAAGGTTTTTACCATTTTGGCACCAATTGTAATTAAGTTGAGTTAAACTCAGCAAATTTCACAGCAATGGGAAAAGTTAGAGGTCCTCAGTGTTGTGCTTTTGAATGTTCCACATGTAAAAAGTCTGTCCTAAGTTTTCATAAAGTATAAGAAGTGATAGTGAAGGGTCAAGTAATGAAGAATGAAAACTCAAAAGAAAACTTCCCAGGACATTTCATCAGTAAGCAATTTATTTTTACATGTATATACTATTTTATAGATTGAAACTAGACTTGCATTACATGATAAACATCCTTTACAGATTTCCTAAGGATAAAGTTCCAGCTTCTTTAGTTCTTTGTCTGATAAACATCCTTTATAGATTTCCTAAGGATAAAGTTCTGGCTTCTTCATTGTCCATATCCAGCCTTTTTACTGAGCTAGATCACCATCTTTTTGACTCACCAGTTAGTGAAAATCATGTTGTTCAGTTGATCAAGAACATCAAGAGTTACTGCAAAGCTAAATTTTATCATCTTGGAAAGAAGACCACTGAGAATTCATCTGGATAAAAAATTGGAAAAAAATTAAACAAACTTGTACTTTTTAACCACCAGTGATTTATACATGGAATGTATTAGAGAAAGTTAGTTATTACTAAAAATTTAGAGTGAAACCACCCAAGATGAAAGTGCAGACTGTGTCTCAAACATTTTATTAAATATTTACAGTGAACAATGCCCAAGTGCAGACTCTGTCACAAACATTTTACTAAAAATTTACAGTCAACAATGCCCAAGCTGATAGTGCAGACTCTGTCTCCAACATTTTATTAAAGATTTACAGTGAACAATGCCCAAGCTGAAAGTGCAGACTCCGTCTTAAACATTTTACTAAAGATTTACAGTGAAAAATGACCAAGTGCAGACTCTGTGTTAGTTATAATAATTAAACATTTTACTAAAGATTTACAGTGAAAATTGCCGAAGCTGAAAGTTCAAAGTGAAGACTCGGTCTTAAACATTTTACAGTATAAACTGCCTTCGCTGATAATCTAAACGTTACTTACCAATTTTCTATTTCCATAAAGTGGTGCCAGAAACTGTAAGAAGATGTATATTATACGATATTTCACCAGAGAATCATCCACAGTTTGAATATGCACTTTACACTTGACAATGATAAAGAATGCAGTAATTCAAAATTTTTAGCTTTAAAATGCGATTGAAAGACAACAACATCGCCAATTAATGTTTTTCTTGTAACCTTTTCCAAAAAAGATGCGATTTCAACGCGAACATATCTCAAAAAGGTATTTTTAATCCACAAATGCAGAAAAATATAGTATTTTCTATAGAATTTCATTGATGAGTGGGAACGACCAATATGGCCGCCGCCTATTTTCATGGGGGAAACCGCTGAGATTTTTGGCTTCAGTTTTGTATTCTGAGATGCGCTATCTAGTGTATATGAGATATCTATGATGTTGACGTTACTGGTGTAATCTTTCTCGTTATTCGTTGCTGCTTGCATTTCTTTTCATTGAAGGTCAAACCAGATACAGATGACCAGTGTCCTAAGTTTCTAAGATCACTTTGAAGTAACATAGCATCGTCCTGACATTTGACAGATGAAAATAACTTTGTGTCGTCTGCAATCATGGCTACTTCGCTGGTCTTTACTGAATCACGAAGATCGTTGACATACAGCAAAAATAGCGCTGGTCCAAGAATAGAGCCCTGCGGGACACCTGATGATACAGGAAGTGTGTTTGAGATACAACCAAGTACCGTTACACACTGACAACGATCCGATAAGTATGACTGAAACCACTTTAGTAAATTACCACCGAAGCCGTAATTTCTCAGTTTAGTAATTAATTTCGTATGATTAATCCGATCAAAGGTTTTAGACATATCGAGATAGATCGTATCTACCTGTCCCCCATTGTCCAGAATCCTGCCAATATAGTCAATTGCCTCTAAAAGATTTGTTACACATGATTTACCTCGAAGGAACCCGTGTTGACACTTGCAGATGATCTGGGACAAATGGCACATGATGTTCATAAAGACACAACGTTCTAGCTGTTTCGAAACAATCGATAAGAGTGAGATCGGTCTGTAGTTTTCGCAGTGATCTTTTTCACCTTTCTTAAATACAGGTACAACATTTGCTAGCTTCCATTCTTCTGGAACCGTGCCAAAACGTAATGATTTATTAAATAATTTACAAAGAGAGGGAGCAATGATGGAGGCAGTCACTTTGAGTAGTCTGGCTGGAATTTCACCTGGACCGGTTGCTTTGTTGCTATCGAGGGTTTTAAGTAAAGTTTCAATTTCCAGTTCGCTTACAATTACTTCAGATATGAATGGGTCAGTACTTAGTTCTTCAGATTGATCAGATAAGTTGTCTGTTGCAAATACTGATGCAAAGTAAGTATTGAACATATTGGCTATTTCAGCTGGTCTCGTGGCGCTAGGTCTAATGTGAATTTAATCGGAGGAGTTGAGTGCTGCAGGCATTGAAATGAAATCGGGGATGCTGCAAGTTTTTTATTTATGTTTAAGGACAGACCAAAAGCGCTTGGGATTGTTAATAAAGTTGTTGTTAACCGAGGAGAAGAAATTCTCGCGGCTGTCACTAAGTAACCGTTTAACTTTAGAACGCATTCTCTTGTATTTCTCGTAAAGATGTGCAGTAGGAGTCTTTTTTCTTAATTTGATGGAGAATATCGCCGTTGATCCATGGTAACGGATTTCTACCTTTCAATTGCTTCTTAGGAATGAATTCTGAAACGATTGAAAGAAAAGTGTCCTTCCAACGCTTCCAATCGGTATTAATGTTGTCATCCAAGTGAACACCTCAAGTATTGTGTACACGGGCTGGGAGGAGATAAATATGAAAAGCGATGGCGGATGTTTTCATATACGATTCTTATACGTTGATGTTGTTGTAAAAATAAAGCAAGTGTTTTGACTTTATATATTTAACTTCATATACTTCATTTCATATAATATTACTTCAAGTTTGACTTCAAGTTCTTCACGATATTTCATAAATAACTGACTATAGTTCGCTTAGCAAAGTACGTATTCATAGTTGCATAACACCCACACATTAGCACACTATTTACATATATGCAAAATCATTCAATCGTATAAACATGCTCCCCGTCCAGTCCAGAGGCGGAGCAGTCTGGGCGACTACAAAATAAGTTAATGTTCTATAGAAATTAATGTTCTCTTAATAAGAGTATAAGTTTAGTCACAGGTCTGTGTAATACTCCATTCTGAGTTAAGACTTTGGCTGATCGCACAACGTTTCGGTCGTCTGGGAATGTTTCTTCAATTTTGCCCCTTAGCTACCGTCCTCTTGGCTGATTTGGGTCCAATATTAACACTAAGTCACCAGGTTCCAAATTTCGTACTGTTTGATTCCATTTTGGCCGTCGTTGAAGGCAAGGCAGATATTCTTTCTGCTACGTTTTCCAAATCTTTGACATGATGGACTGTAGAAATAGCCAACGCCGTATTGGTGAGACTTCTTCAACTTGGATTTCGCTCGGCAGCAATGGCATTAACTGTCCTGCAGCTAAGAAATGCGATGGGGTCAGAGGCTCTACGTCATCTGGATCACTTCCTACATACGTCAACGGACGATTATTCAACATGGCTTCGCATTCAGCTGCAACGGTGGAAAGTTCATCATCTGTGAGTTGAACTCCGTTTGTTGTGGCTGTTATCGCACGTTTTTCCAGTTTTACCATGGCTTCCCAGGTTCCTCCCATGTGAGGAACAAAAGGAGGACTGAAGTTTCAATCCAAGCCTTCTTGTTGTAGCTTCGCCTTTAGAACGACATCATTGCATAGTTCTTTTACTAACTGGCGTATTTCTCTCTCTTCTCCAACGAAATTGGTCCCCTGGCGACAAATCGAGAAAAAACCTTCAAGAAATCATCAGTTGATAGAGATTGGGCAACTTCAAGGTGAACAACGCGTGTTTGTAGACATGTAAACACGACTCCGTATCTGTTTTCTCGTCGACCTCCTCTAAAGCCAGCTTTGATGGTTATAGGGCCAAAATAATCAACGCCCGTCAAGGTAAATGGTTGGTTTGGGAAGTCAACTCTCGATGCAGGAAGGTCAGCCATAAATTGAACACCAGGATTACCACGCCATTCCTTGCATAAGACACAGCTCGATAAGATCTTCTTCACTTGTTCCCTTCCTCTTATTGGCCAATAGCGCTGCCTCAGGTTACAGAGTACTGTGTTTACTCCAAAATGCTTCACCTCTTCGTGAGACCTTCTGATTAGAAGAGCAGCTAGATGCGATCCTTTTCCCAAAATAATCGGATGTCGACAGTCATATGATAGAGGTGATCTTTCAAGACGTCCACCCAAACGTACCAGACCTTCGTCGTCCATGAACGGTACAGCGAGTTCACAATTCACTGCTTTTTTGAAAAACATAATATGAGCGACCCCTTTTCATTTGATTTGACTAAAAGATCCCCACGAACACACGCCAAAAAATACACTTAGAGGAGATAAAAATGTTATAATTTGTCAAAATATCAAAAACACTGTCACTGCAGAGTGCACAGTCAATGTTACGATGTATATTACAGTAAAACCTACAGCAATACAACATATAACATGTCAGGATAACTTACTTTGAAATGACAACCCAAAACGGCGATAGTATTCAATATTTTTTGAAAAACCTCTAAACGATCTCCCTTTCTCACAAAACTTGAATATAAGGCCAGAATTTATACAAAGTATGTCTTTGCTTCGCTCCTGACCTCGTGTTAAAATGCTACAAAGCTTGCTGATCAAAATATTTTTAACCGCCATACTTGGAACGTCGTTCGCATTCGCTGAACAAAGTATTCGGCAGTCATCGATTTGCTCTTGTGAACTCCTGGGGGTATGATAATGCTCCAATGTAAATTCCTTACTGCTACGTCATAATTTGACGTCACAACTGCTGACGAACACTTGAACGACACAAAATCGAGATACGCTTCAAGTTTATAAAACTGTTGGCGGGAAATTCAAATGCGCTAAAACACTTTGTCAAGAATAGGAGGCTGCCTTCGGCAGCAATAATCTGATTACCTTGGCTATATGGTGCACTGATCGTCTTGCTGGAATCAATATAGAATACAGGTCCAGGATTTGTCTCAATATGTGTACATAATGCTGACTGGCAAATATTCTTTAAATGGTTGACATTTTTTGTATACCTGTTGTGCATATAAATCATGAGTTGAACCTGATAAATAGAATATATCTGCGAGCATACCTTCACAAATATAAAATTTGACGTACATCTTTCACTGATTGGTTTGTCTGGCATCTCATTTCAACCTTTGGGCAGTAAACATCAGGAATACACTTCAACCTTGTGTCTACTATATAATGAAGATTTGAAGATCTGAGTACAGTCCTTTTGATGTTATGCCCGAGACGTTTTCTCAACAATCGACTTTTTCGAAACTTCCTACTTAACCATCATTCTAATGGGTTGACGGTCACGGTGACGTAAGTGGCAACCAGTGGCAGTAAAGTCGTTAACAAGCTTTTGTGTGCAGACATTATAAAATAATGCATGTCGTGATCGCACTGGGAGTTTCCTTATACGCCTATAGCCTTGGGCTTTGATGGACTTGTTATTTTATTCTGGTCAAATTTAGAAATACAGTTGAATACAGTTCGTCAAATTTAGAAATACAAATGTAGAATATCAGATATATTTATACCTGACATACATTGATCTATGGACACATTCTTGTTTTCCACATCATCTTTGCTCAACATTATCGACAAATTGTTGACCATGTGCTCGTTGACAGTACAGCAGCAGCTTGGCTTTGAGTTTATGTTTGTTTGTTGTAAATTTGTCTGTGTATTTATAATTTGTCATTTCAGTAGTAGTTTTGTCACATTTTTGTTCACTTTTTGTATAATATTTTTAGCAACTTTTTGTGTAACAATTTTGGCAATTGTTTATGCAAGCGTTTACGTACCCGAAGGTATTTTTCGATTCGTGGATAATCGACCCAGTTCGAAATCGCTCATCATCTTTTAGTGTAGGTCTACCACGAATATGTGCAGAGTTTTTATTTTATTTATTTTATTTTAAAAATTTTCTCCATGTACAATAAATTTATGTGTAGTATATTTACAATAATTGTAGAGTGCGAGCTAGAGACCTACTAGAAATCTTAGTAGACTTTTTATTTAGGTCTCTAGTTATGCTAGTTTGTATTGTGTTATGTAATAAATTATTTACAGTCAATCACAATATTAAAGGAATATTTATCAGTTATAGACCTGAAACGAGGGGTATTCCACAAAAAATTACCCTGAGGGATGAAATATTCCGAGGGCGAAGCCCGAGGAATATTTCATCCCGCAGGGTAATTTTTGTGGAATACCCCGAGTGAAAGGTCTATAAATGGTATATTATACCGAACCTTTCAAAAATAAGTAGAAAACAAATACCATTCAATTAACTTTTAATTTCAAAACACAACTTTTGATAACTTTACATTTAAAAAGTCGAATTTCCCGCTCAAGCGTGGTATTCGAAGTCGAATACCATGGCCCCGGGTAAAACACCCAGGGTTCAAATTGCCTAGGTCATAGTATTCGCTGAAAAATACCATGGTCATGTGGTACAAATTTAGTTCTCTGATTGGACAAGCTCATTGTGAGGTATAAT